GAATATCCTACATACATAATTTAAGAACAAAGTTTAGTCTTGGAGACCTAATTCATTCTTTGCTTCTGCAATTACCAATCAATACTACCTTCACGGTTGACAGCTGCATGTAAAACTGATGTAAAAGAAATAAGAATTAGGCCGTCGTGGTTTAATGCCAGCCAGCAACTAAGCATCACGCAGCCACTTGCTCACTCCCCCCTGGTGGGATGAGGGAGAGAATTGGAAGAGTAAAAGTGAGAAAACTCATGGGTTGAGATAAAGGCAGTTTAATAGGTAAAGAAAAAGCTGCACATGCAAGCAAAGCAAAACAAGGAATTCATTCACTACTTCGCATCAGCAGGCAGGTGTTCAGCCATCTCCAGGAAAGCAGGGCTCCATCACACGTGACGGTTACTTGGGAAGACAAATGCCATTACCCCGAACGTGTCCCCCCCTTCCTTCTTCTTCCCCCACTTTTTTATTGCTGAGCATGACGTCATATGGTCTGGAATACCCCTTTGGTCAGTTGGGGTCAGCTGTTCCAGCTGTGTCCCCACAACTTCTTGTGCCCCCTCAGCCTCCTTGCTGGTGGGGTGGGGTGAGGAGCAGAAAAGGCCTTGACACTGCATAAGCACTGCTTGGCAGTAACGAAAACATCCCTGTGTTATCAACAGTGTCCCATACCAGCTACTATGAAGAAAATTGACTCTATCCCAGCCAAAACCAGCACACGGGCCCTTTGCATTTTTCAGTTTATTCTTATAAAGTATTATGCTGCACTTTATGCTTCTTATATTCATCTTATTCCTCTAGCTGTAGTGTGCATACATGTATTCCTGCCAGATACTGATCAGTGTTGCATACAGTCATCATTCTCAGCATGTCTGCTATATCCACCTACACAGAATGGCACTTACAGCAACTGCTTCTGTAATTTCTGTGCCTCCTTCTGTCTTTGGATGGAAAATGCACAACAGTCATAAATATAATTCATATCATATGTACGTGTCCAAAATTGGGAAAAGTCAGCTATTGCAAGTTCGAATTGATTCTGTCATCTAGAATCTAATTCATAATCTAATCATCACCTCTCCTTAAGGCTATTTCTGGAGTGGAAATTATAGTGGATGAAAAGAGAGAGAGTATTTTAATGCAATTTCATGACATAGATAACTATCATTGTTCTTTAAGCAGGACATTTACAGCTTAACCGTCATGTCTGTAAAACAGGGGGGGTGCTGGAAATTATGTAGGGAGTTAAAGATGGAATCCTCCCTCAGTCCCTGGTCAGGCCTTAAGGTGACTCTTCAGCCTCTTCAACCCCATAGCTCCGTTTTCTCTCGCAAGCAGTGAGTTAAAAACCATCAATCTGTAAATATCCCTTATATATTGTTATTACACCTAAGGTCACTGTGCATCCAGACTTCACTAGCCATATCCCTTTTTGCCCAGCTAAATTCTAAGAATTTCTTACATTTGTCCAAAGATTTCTGGATGTCTGACAAGAAAACCTCCAAGCTTCTGGGTATCCCAGTTATTTCAAAAATACATTTGCAAATGAATTATGCAATACATGTGCAGAGAATCAAACATTTCCTAGACTTAGCCAGGATACTGTGCATGTGCCAGTGGCTGTGTGCAAACTTTGCATGCACAACTGGAGAATGCAGAATGCCCTCTCTTTCTGGTGCTTCCTGGGAGCTTCACATTTATTGTGTACATGCTCAGGAGTTGAACAGTTTGGGAACTATATGTGTAGCATGGCTGGAAAATGTTGGATTTTCCATCTCTGTCTTACATGATCATGTGTTTCTCCCTGAGAAATACTGATGGGAAATAGCATAGAATCATAAAAAATTAAGGCTGGAAGGTCAAGGTTCAAGAGATCATCCAGTCCACTGTCTTGTTCTCAGGTGGATTAGCTATTCCAGTATTTGTCTAACTTGCTCCTAAGCACTCTTACAGGAACTCCACAGGTTCCCCCAGCAATTTATGCCAGTGCTTCACTGCCACGTTAGACAGCTTTTCCCAGCATCTCATTTGAATCTTCCAGGTTGTTGCGCCTCATTCTCTCCACTATAAAATGTAAGACAGGCTCATTTTCTCCTCTTTTCATTAGCTCTACCTACATTTGAGGCAGGCATCATATCCCACTTAGTCTTCCCTTCTTGAGATTAAACATGACCAGTTCATTCCAGGTGTCTTCATAAGCCTCAGGTAACTCCCAGGCCTTCAGCCGCTCTAATTATTCTCCTCTAGTTGTCCACATTTTTTCTGAAGTGTGGCGTCTAGCTGTGGACATGGTGCCCCCTGCAGAGGTCTTTCCAGTGCAGACATCACTCCCCCTCATGCAGCTTGGTATAGGAGTTGCCTTCTCTTCACTTCTGCAACATGCCAGGACTGCTGGTCGCATGTTCAAACTGACAGAATAATTTTGAACCCTAATCCTGTCTTACCGCCTACCAAAAAGTCCCTCCCAGCATGTCATCGCCATGTAAATTTAGTAAGCGTGTTCTCTTCTCCATCATCCAGGTTGTTAAGGAAATACTGAGTAGTGCAGAACAAAGACAGACTTCTGTGAAGCACCATATACGCACACTTCCATTTCCACAGATAGATATCTATCCCCTCGGGGTTTTTTTCTGACTACTTTTGCATTCATTCTGCAGCAATTTCATCTAAACTATGTTTCCCTAGGTTATAAAGAATGTCATACGAGGGAGTGTCGAGAAACTTGTAAAGTCAAACCACCTACTGCTTTTTCCCTGTCCGCAAGGCCAATTACCCTGTCTTAGAGGGAGATCAGATTGGTTTGACACAGTTTGTTCCTAACAATCCATGTTGTTTGTTGCTACCTTGTTTTCTTGCGGGTGCTTACAAATTGTTTTATTATTTTCTTCAGTACTTTTCCACAGGTTGAAGTTTAGTTGACTGGACTATAATTTTGCAGATCTTCTTTTTAAAGATAGCTACTACATTTGCTCCTCCATCCTCACAGATAAGCACTAACATCTTTAAGATTGTTCCAGATAGTGTGCAAGCATCTAACTCATCCAAATACTGTACGTTTCTTGCCTCACCTAGGCTGAAATCTTTAGTTTTGCCAGAGATTCCCTCAGACAACAGACCCAGAGCCCAAATGCATGCCTGTTTCTGAAAGTTGCAGTCTGGAGTGATTTGGGCGTAATGGATGGGCAGTTCATTTCTGCGGCATTCAGAGGAGGCCAGCCCTCCTAGTTGACTGCTTCCCTAGGAGAAGATATTGTAAAAGTAGATGTTCTGGACTGGGAGCTCTCTGTGGATAAAATCCTGCCCTTAGTGAAATTTTTTTAAAGTTGCCCAGTGCTTGCATGGGTCTGAAAGCTGGAAGCCTTTCAGTCAGCTTCTCAACTATTATCCCTTTGTCTAAGTGCCAGGTTTCTTTTTTAAAATGTGCTTGATCCAAAAAACCTTCTTGAGATAATAAAATGTTTTTGTTTCTTGATCCCTAGGGAAGTCAGCATAGTCTAAAACTGGTCAGATAAATAATTTTCATTACTATTAGAGGGTAACTCAAAGTTTCTTCCTTTTGTGTTATATCATTCCATGTGGGAGGTAGGAAAAGGAGTTGTAATTTTCTCCGTCCTTAAACAGACCCATAACAGGAATAATGTCATTAAAATTGTTGATATGTATTCCACAAAAAAGTGTCATCTTGAATGTGATCAGATACCTTTATCTACCATGCCATACAATTTGTTGTCTACTTTGCATCAGTCATTTCTATGTGTTCTGGGAGCATATTATATATAATTTGAGTATTACTAATGAATCCAGCTCCTTTTCTGAAGTCATTTGTTCAGCTAAATATCAAAAGAGAAAAACTCATACTCCTTAGAATTCAAGAAATAGGTTTAAATTACTGACTTCAAGCAAGGCCAAATAGGCCTTTATCTTCCCCCTTTCTGAGAATGCAGATAACAGCTGTCACTTAAAAGCGAAGCCTTTTAGTACATTTTTGCAATCTTTTTTGATCAATATCAAGAATCAACATAAAATAAAGGTATAAGTAGCAGTCACCTGAGTGTATCAGGACTGTATTACTAGGCTCTGAAAAAGCTGTACTGCACTACTAGAAATTAGCTCAAAACCATAAAGTCCATTGTGTACCTTCATTCTGTAGAGAGATGCCCTTTGAATTTGCTGGGAGTTTTATGTAAAAATCAGTACCAGAGAATGTTCCTAGTTTTCAGTCCCACATGAAAGCTTATTGTAGGCAGAAGGGATTAATGGTTCTTTTCTTTCCTCTAGTGAACAACGGAAAACTACGCTGTTGTAAAATTTGTAAAAAAAAATTGCAAAGCCAGATTCATGTATCACAGTGTATCATTTGCATCTACCGTACTCGCTAGACTTTTTAGGAGTGTCTTACTTGACACAGTCCTGATGTGAATGGGGCTCAGAAGTTTCACTGCATGTTTTAGGCAAGGACAATTTATCGATTGAGAAATAAAATTTCAACATTTTGGTTTGTTTGCTAGATCTAATGCCATAAAAAAAATTATTCCTTTCTGTAGGAAAGGGATTTTCCCCCAGTTTATCTTCTCTTCTCCATTCCCACTCTTCTTGGCCCTGGTCCTGCAGTATGAAAGGACCTCTCTGAAACAATGCTGATTTATATGAGAATCCACGTAGGGAATAAAAGTCTGACTTAATGAGTCAGAAGACAGGTAAGGACATGTATTTATTAAATCAGAATGCTGCTGTGAATGTCATAGGTCTCTCATCACCCATTTCAAACAAGTATTTAGCTTCTCATTAGATTAAGTATCTGGTTAAACTGAGAAAAAATGGAAAGTCAGAATTCAAAAGAACTCAGATTGCTCCTGCTGTAACACTCTGTCACCTGAACAAAGTCCATAGTATTTAATGCTCCTATGGGATTTGTTCCCCAGAAGTAGATGGGTGAGGTCGTGCATTGAAAGTTTCCTGTTACTGCTTCATTTTCTAAATACCTATTTTTACATTTTAACATATAGCTCCATCAGCCCTCCCAGACGCAAGTGGGACAAGCAGCCTCACAATCCAATCTCCTGCATTTGGCTCACAGTCAAGCATCTATGTCTCAAAGCCCAGTGCGTCAGGCTTCCTCTTCTTCCTCCTCATCCTCCTCCTCTTCAGCTTTGAGTGTTGGCCAGTTAGTCAGCAGTAAGTATTGCTCCCTGGCTCTCCTTAATTCTCCCCTCTGTTTGTCCTCCTCACTGCTGAGTTTCCTGATCTGCTTTCCCTCCTTTTTTTTTTTTTTTTCATATGGTAGATTGTATATTGCTAAGTAGAGTGACTTACCAGTGAGAACTGCTAAGTGCTGTCATGGATGGGGCTTAAGGTAAACATGCCTTGAGAAATTGTAATCAATGCTAAAAATGGTCAGAAAAATGGTAGCAGCTGTTAATTGACTCATGAGGGCAATTCTTATAACTGAAATGTAGTTTATGTTCTTTGGAAATGAGAAGTTTTTTGAATCCGTGAATATAATTAATTATATTGCTCAGAATTTGGTAGACAGATCCTCCTACTTCTGGTTAGGCTGCTTGTTCATTACTGTTTGTTTGCTTAGTTAGTAGCAAACCATTTTGCAAACCCTAGCACTACACAAACCTAGAGTGAGAGACCTTTCTTGCCAGGAAAAGCTTGCACAATTTAAACAAGAATGAACTGTAATGTGGGAGAGGAGAGAGAAGCACACTGCTGTGAAATAACTGAGTTTCAGTGCTAGGATTATAACAGCTCACCTCCCGAACAGCCCTTTCTTCCAGACCACATAGTTCAGAGTCTTTGCTATTACCTTATCAGCATTAACTTTGGTCTTTACATAGCAAAAACAACAGGCTAAAAGTGTACATAAGAAGCATTAACAGCTTTTGCACATCTGCAAAAATCTGAGTGTATTGGATGACCTTGTTCAAAGATACTCCATGTACGTATTTCAAGTAAACAAACACTATAGCTCATGCTGTATTGGTAATGTAAAATATATGACTGATACAAGTTTATGAAGGGCTTGGAGAAACTGTCATGCAAGGGAAGATGTGAAAAAATCTTGGTTAGATTATTTCAGAGATTGTTTACATGGGGAAATTACTAGCAGAGCTATAGTGGTAAAATTATGCTGGTATAACTCCCAGTGTGAATACTTTTATTCTGGAATAAAAATATCTGCATTGGTAGCTGCAGGTACATAAAATATATAGATACAGATATAATTGTAGTGATATAAATATACTGCTATTGCTCAGTCAGTAAATTTTCTCATGTAGACAAGCTTGTAGGAAGGAGACAAATAAGAGGCTTCACGTTAAAAATACATAGAGTTACCCCTTGTCTATGTGGGAAAATTGACTAAAATAGCTAGTGCAGAATAAGTTACTTTTCAATGGCTAGTCCAGAATAGCCTCCCTTGTTGGACATTCTTATTAAAAAAATATTCTAGAATAACTATTGAGGGGTACTCTACCCCACAATAGTTATTCCAGTCAATTTCCCCATGTGGATAAGTGCACTACCCGATAAAAGCAACATGGAAGAAGCCCTTTTAAGTTTACAGGATAAATCCATCAAAAGTTAGGAGGTGCTAGAAAAATAGTTAGCTGTTCAACTGTATGCAAGTCCTCCTAGAACATGTGTTTTATGATAATGATATACCTTGTGATTAAAATCACGTAATCATGATTTTTTTTCTCATCCTTCTTTTAGTGTATTTCCAATGGAATTGTTCTAGGGATGCATCAGAATTACTAATGCAACAGGTGGGCTGTTGTCCCAGGGTTTGCTCCCTACCTGATACACTAAACTGTTCCACAGTTTGCATAACATTTGAGGTAGGGAGCTGTAAAAGGGTGAGGGATGGTGTTGCTTCAGGCAGTAGAGGGCTGAGGAGCTGAAGCTTTCTGTCTGCCATGTAATTCCAGTGCAATGGCAGGCAAGTCACTTAAAACAGATTTTTCACAAGTGCTCCCTCAATATCCAGCTTGAGACTCTGGACTTTAATTTACAGAAGAACCTGGTACTCACAGTTACAATTTTAAGTGCACTTTCACTGTGGAACTGTATAAAGACCCATTTAAAGACACAGTCTAAAAAATCATCTCCTACTTGACCTAGACTGGGTACCCCAAAATGCTTTGTCCCTTAATATCTGTCCACTTCTCTGTGAATGAGAAGGGGAAGACCCTCATCTTGTAGAGACACAAGAAAATAAATTAAGATTTAAAAAACAGAAGAGCTCAAGAGGAAATATCTTTGGTGAAGAGCTTTAATAGAGGTCTGGGGCCACACACTGAACAAGAAAGGCGGCAATACATCAATCAGTTCATCCGTAATGAAGCACAATTCGTCCTGTGCACTGGACAAAGCAGGGGTCTGGGGAAAAAGAACTGGTAATCCAGGGCTCAAAGACTGTGCTACACTGCGTTGTGGGCTCCTATAACTCCAGCATTTCGTAGTTTCTGAGTGTTTATTTGTGCAACTCTAAGGATGTTCTTCTAGCTTCATTTTTTGCTTGGATAAATTTCAAGGTTGTTACAAAAGCAGAATAGTAATGTAAGTCAGTCATATGGTGAGATAATGCTTATATTCATAGTTGGAAATATGAGATCTTCTGTCAGTTGAACAGATGGAAAAGCTGATAGGCTGTGTTATCATCTTGTTGGTCCTGCTCTAAAAGGAGTAAGACACATGCTGTGGTCATGGATTTGGCTGAGAGCAGAGGAGTATGAGGCACAGGAATATCAGTTTGGGGAAGAGGGGGAGATACTCTAATGAACATAGACTTTCTATTTGTTCCTCTCAGGTTTGACTCCTTCCACCGCTTGTCTTGTTTCAGTCCACTACTTCCTCATGCTGTTCTCCACACAATCTACGCTCCCTTCACCTCCATGCTTTTGTTCCTCTTACCTTCTCCCTGCAGTCCTTTCCCCGCAGTCCATCATTCCTCAAGTCTTCTTCCCTTTTTGGTTCCCCTCCAGCTCCCAGTCGGTCTCTGTCCCCAGACCACATCTGTGTCCCTTTTACCAGCCTTTTTATTAGGTAGTTGCTGTCCTCCTCTACCTTGTTTTACCACCAGTGCCACCTCTTTTTCCCTGTTTCCTTTCCTCTACCACAGTGATTACTACTCTCTGCACAGGCCCTCTCTCCCTCCACTCCAAACTCAAATCCCTGCTCCTTAGTAGTCTTCAGGGTTTCTTCCCCTTTGATCATTTCTTTTTCTTGAGACTCAAGATTAATTTTTGCCTGCTCTGCATCCAAATCATGCAGATGCCACTCTCACCCTCCCTAGAAGCCATCAGAAGATTGTGGAAAATGATCACCAAGAAGAGAGGCAAGTCAGTCTCTCTGTTTTTACTGCTGTCCTGGCCCAAAGCAGGCCAGAGCCACAACCACAGGAAGGGGGGTTCTTTTCTGTCTACTTCAGCCTTAGGCTCAAGCACCCTCAATACAGAGAAAATCCTAACAAAAACTCCACGCGGAGGTCTAGCAAATCTCTACTGAGTAGGTATGAGCTTTGGAGGCTCACCTGCTTGGAGTCGTTGGAGAGAGATGTTTACTTGGGATGGCAAGAAGCCCATTACTGACATAAAACTATCTCCCTGACACCTATCAAGGCCATGCTTCAAGTTGTAGGGAAATTGAAACTTCATAAAGAAAAAAGGTTATTACATTTTTTTTAAACCTGGGCAGAAAAACATGTTTTATCAGCCTCATTCTCAGAAGCAGTTGACTTGAAATTTGAATTATAATGGCAAATGCCAGGCAAACTTAGCCATAGTCAATACCCTACCTGAGATAATGAATGGCCCAGAGAAGATAGTTGGGGTGCTTCACCCTTGCTCAAAAAAAAAAAGAAAGGTCCATTAAATCAAGTGGGGAACTGAGAGTAAAGAAAATGCTTTTCATACAATCAGAATGAGGAAAGTGGTGTTCTTGGGAATTAATTCACTGGGACCCCGATCATAAGAGCATTCCAAAGGAAGGGGCTATCAATAGGGATCTCCTGTAAAAAAGCATGACAATTACACATGAATAAGAAGTTCTGGAATTGTTTTAAATTTATGTTTCCAGCTTCATCCAGTCCCTAGCTATTCAAGACCAACAGACTATGTAATGTGAGGGGCAGATCAACTCATTTCTGCCATTTACATAGCGTTATCACACAGACAGAAGTAAAACAGTCATCTCGATGATCCTTAATGGCTGTCCAGCATATTCTTGAGAGCATGTAGCCAACCACAAACTGGAGCTAACGCTGCACACATAAGCCTGGTTGAGCTGGAACATAAGTGACGTTGTTCCAGGGCACAAGAGAGCTACCTGCTGGTTTCTAGTAATGTGGAAAAAGCCTACAAGAAAAGAAAATATGGTCAGTTCAGTAGGGAAAGATCAAACCATCTGTGTAATGAAACATGAAAATGGAAACATGAAAAGGATCCTTTACAGCTTTTCATTGTCATTGATAATACCATCTTTTTAGACAAATAGTCTTAATTGATCTTCACTAATTTGAAAATTGTTTCATGTAACTAAAACCCCATTTGCATACAACTGTGACTGCACACAGGGAAATAAATAGAAAGTCATCCCTGTTTTGCTCCTTTGCAGAATCCATTCAGCTTCTGGGTGCAGATCCCTGAAGGGCAGGAGCACCGCTTTGTCAAGCCCATGGCCCATAATTGAACAAAGCCTTCTTAGTGTCCCAGCTCCCACACTGGCTAGCAGAGCTTTGTATAACAGGCCTACAATTGAAATATAGTGTCTGCTGAAGTCTATTCAAAGTCTTTTAGTGGGATGAGGCCTGCGATGGGTCAGTGGTTCCGAAAGAAATCCGTAGGCATGAGGGCAACAAGAAACAACTTGTGGCCTCCTGAACATCTTTTTGATTGCTTTACCCCTCCTGAGGCAGAAATATTGTTGTTTCCTTTTCCTTATTCATTCCAAAGCTGCAGTCCAGTCCTCCAGGAGATGCCCTAGAGTCAAGTACCTTGGTAGAGATTTACCATATTCCCAAAATTGTTGCTAAATATAGTAAGGTTCATGTAAAACTAGGCATATTCAGCTACCTTATTCTGTTAATCGAATTGCTTAGAGCAACATAACCTCAGTAAATAATTATTTTGGGCAAGGTTCTGCATACTTACTGTAAAGAAAGTAAGTCTCTTTACAAGAGTCCACTTCACATCAGTGAAAATACTACAGTACTATGAGAAAGGGTTCAGAATCTAGAATCAGAATAAGAATAAAATAACTTTAGTGTTCCATGTTACTTGTTTTTATTCCTTTTACTTTTTATTCTAGTCGTGTTTTCTTTATGATTTTACATTTTTTCTTTAACATGTTTCCTAATTTTTAAAAAGGTGCATTTTCTTCCCCTTTTTTTAAATTTCCCTTTATTTCCTGTACTCCCCCCGCCCCGATTGTTGTGTTCTTTATAGCTTCTCCTTTTTATCTCATCCTCATCCCTTCATCCCTCACCAGCAACAAGTGCTAGTTATTTTAAAGACAAAAAATTATGGTTGTTCCCAAAGAAAGGACATTTTAAAAGAAGCTCTGCCTAAGCAAGGACTGCAAGATTCATCTCTACTCTTCCTGTCCCTTCTGTATGATTTCTTCATATCGTCTCATCCTCTCTCTATTCTCTTTTGTCTTCTTTGTTTTCTCTTCATCAATTCTACATCATTATTCCTCCTTTTTTCCATTTCATTTTCCTCTTCTCAGTTGCATCCCTCTGCTCATTTCTTTAACTTTTTCACCATATGTTCTCTTTGTGGAAATCACTGGTTTCCCCTCATGCTCTGAGACTTGTGTCTCCATGAAGTTTCTTTCTTACTTCCAGATTCATTTTACTGTCATCTGTTACCATAAAATTAAAATGCTTCCCACAAACAAATTATTCTTCTTTCTTTCCCCTGAGCTCCAGTCCATTTCCCATTAACAATGTTTTGTTCTGCCTTTCTTATCCAATTTACTTTCCATTGGACTTCCTGTGCCAGCTATTTCTCCTCCTGTCTAACTGGGGAAATCATCCCCTGTAATCCCTCCCATGGTAGAACTCTGTGTAACAGAAATTTGCTTTCTCCTTCGGGGTGCACTGAGTTGTCTGTAGCAACTCTTTCCCCTAACTATTAAAATCATAGCATATTTGCACTCACCAACAAACTCATATGGGATTTTTACAAGAATTCAAAAGAGGGAGTAGTATTCCCTTCAGTAGGAAAAAAAGGGATTTCAATGCAGGAGAGCCTGTATTTTATTCCTTCCACTCTGCTCATCCATCTTTACCATCCACCAGGACATCTGGGGGAATTTTAGCTGGCTTTCTTTGTGTTAGGGAATATGTACACATGTCCCCTAAAATAGTCCCAGGCACCTCTCTCACCTTTCTTTAGCACCCAGTAGTTTCATAGACACAACAGCCATTTTTTTAATCAAGCTGTAATGTACACTGGGAGTCTTTAAGTGCTGTTACTGTAGATCCCAACCACTCAATGAGATTGGTATTCTTTATTTTCCTGTTGGCACTGTGCTGCCTTCACTAGGATGTCCACTTCATTTAAAAAGCAGCAGTTTATCTACAGTGTTCAATAAGCCACACTTCCTAAAACGTGAAGTGCACTATATACTTAACTGTTCAGAGAGCTCAGAACTTATTAAAACAAAGCCCATTATCTGTTTGTATATGTTTAGGTATGCCTATGTATTAGTCCACAGAGTCCAAGATTATGTATTGATGGCATTTTAAAGGCAATAGAGTAAAACAGACCAGTGCTGTTATATGATGATGTCAGTAGAGTGGTCTTCATAGTACTATTTGAATTTTATGGAGCTGACAGAAATCAAGGGACTACTTCTACGGATTTCAAAGGGCTTTGAATCACACCTGAAGTAGAAGTGGTTCTGATTTGATACACATGCTATTTTCCCTAGAGTTCAGGGATACAAGGCTTCAGTGTTTTGGTCCACCTGTGTTAGTACTTTCCTCTTCCTGAAGACCCTATGTAAGAATGAATCCTGTTTCTCAACAGATACTCTGCTATATATTACCATCTATTCCCATATTCCTGAAGTGCATCACAGGCTTTTTTCTCATCTCAAGGAGAGCTCAGCCTAATTGTTCCCTCATCCAAGCCCCCCGAGCAGGAAAGGACTTTCCATGATATTCACTGTTGCAACAGTGCCATACCAGAAGGATCCAGCAGAACTTGGCAGAATTTCTCTATAATCATGTGCAAGCAAATAACCCCTTAGCTTTCTTACCTCCCTTTTTATTCCTAACAGGAGTGGGGAAGATTTACAGGTGTCAGTTGCCATAGCGTTTGCTACTGAAAGTTCTTTGGGAACACCTGAATTGTCTTTTGTCACATCCCTAATAGCCTTAGTCAGAGGCCTTAAAGTGAAGGAAGGAAAGAGGTGAGGAAGGTCACCATCTTAGTACATTTTACTCAAGGGAATCTTTGAGGCCATTATCATTTATGATATTTTGTACATTTATCAGTTGCTCTTCAGAGACCCAAAGGGCAAATAAGCATCCAGCTCCATTCTGTGTCTCTGAAAATCAGAACTGGTATGCTAGATAGACTGTGTTTGGGGTAAGTAGGAAAACTTCACACCTCTAAAGGCAATTACTTTACAAACCTGAGTGGCCCCTGTCATAGGACCAACTACTTAAAAGCAAATTATATGCACCCTAGCTTTATACTGAATGAGTGCATGCATGTGTGCACAGGTGAGCTCAAGCACAGCACTGACAACAGGAGGGATGATTCTGAGTGTGGAGCGTTATCAAAACAAGGTTCAGTCTATGTGCATCTTTACCTGTATGCATAGTTCATGTGGTCCCTGGTTACATACATGAGTATTTTTAAAATACTATTGCTATGTGTGCTTCTTACACTCAAGCTATGAATCAATATAGGCTAAATTTATATAGCAGAAAAACCTCTTCCCTCTGTCTATTATTGGACTAAAAGATTTTTTTATAGGACATTTCCATCATAAGGGAATTTTACATCGGGTTTATAAACCCCTGAAAATAAAAGCTTTGTTACTTTAATGCTGACAAGCCCTTAGCTACAGCGGTACTAGCAGGAGCCACTCTCATTTAGGGTTCAGAATAGTAATGTAGTCTAGCACTGTCCTTGGACAACTGCTTGCATTTACAGAAATTGATGGGTTATTGTGCTGCAAACTTTTCACCTAAGAAGTCTGAGGAATGAGGTGAAGAACAATAGAGATGCCTCGCTGGGAGAATGGCTTCACTACACGCAGGATTGCACACCACTTTGAAATCTTCCACCATCCTAGTCCCATGCTGTCTCCAACTTGGCAAACGCTTTCATTTAGCCAGGGATCAGTAGCTTGGGGGGAAAAAAAGTTCCATTCTCCAGCTGTTGTGTCATTTCCCTTGATAAGTCCTAAATTGACCAAGTTATCCAGCACCAAAGGAGCTTTCCTGTGGCAGACATGCTTTATTACGTGCCCTTTCAGGGACAAAGGCTTCTGTGTCAGTAAACTGCTATGGAGAGAAAGGACAGATTTATTCTCACAGCATCATAAGCATTATCTTCTGAGGGGCTAATGTAAAAGTAAAAAATTGTGCAGCATTACCATCCAAAACCTAATGGCTGATGTTGCTGCTCCATGATTATCAACCTGATGGGAGGCAGAATGAAAAGCTTGAAAGGCTGCTTCTCAGAAGGGCATATTTTAAAAGATGATTTTTAAATTAAGGAGTTTTTAAAGACAGTGTTTTCTTTGGGCTTGTTCGTTTGCTGCATTATTTTGGATGTTTAGCTGGGAGTTTGGGTTGGGTATTGTGTAAAAGGAAAGGAAGTTTTGTGAATCTCCTTATTTATCATTAATTTTAGATAAAGCAGAAAGTCTTGATTTCAAATTAAAAACCCAACCAGTTTGTGCATATAGTTAGCCCTCCCCACAGACTGCAAAGAAATATATTAACACCAGCCTTCCTTCTGTATGTGGTAAGAAGGGGAAATAGGGAACGTGACTTGTCAGCCTGGGAAAGATTTTGCAAGGCACAAATGGTGGTGGGGAGCCCAGGCACCGCCTCACTCTGAGGTGAGTTGGCCATTTTCAGGAGTTCAGCAACAAAGTATGTCTTTGAAAATCTTTCACCAGCACCTGGAAACACTGCAACCTAGTTAGCATTTTAGCAATCTGAACATGCTTCGTTACACACCTGCCAAGGCAAGCCTGTTCCTGTTTGGGGAAGAAGACACAGGGCTAAGTATTAAAAAAAATGAACATGAATGTCTTGACAATGAAAGTTGGTGTAAGCCTAGCCCACTCATATGTGATGCGAAGAACTGACCTGATTAAAAAAATATTTCAACAGATCCTCAAACAGCCACTGGAGAGGTGGATGGGGTGAATCTGGAAGAAATCCGAGAATTTGCCAAAGCTTTTAAAATCCGGCGCCTGTCCCTTGGCCTGACACAGACTCAAGTTGGCCAAGCCCTAAGCGCCACCGAAGGCCCAGCCTATAGCCAGTCTGCCATCTGCAGGTAACAAGTCACATCATAAACTCTCTTCTCTCCTCTCTGTTCTTAATAATTATTCAGCCTATTGTGAGGAACATGCTTGTGTTTGAGTCTCATGTCTTTAGGATGTATTATTTAATCTGGGACTTAAATTAGCCGATAATGTTGGTATCTGGCAGATAAGATGTTTTTATTGTCTACCCCTAAAATAACTTAGTCTTTTTTTTTTCCTCCTCCTTTTTTAAACAAGCGAGAAACAATGTTCCTGGCATTGAGACTTAATTCAGTAGATGAGCTGGAGACCCTGCTGATGCTGGATAGGCACCAGCTGACCCTCTTCATACTGTGCCATTTTCTACAGATAGGGTTACTGAACAAATATTTCATGGCTGCATCCCTGCTAAGTTAAAACCTGTATTACTGTGGTTAGCACTTCACATATAGGATGTTAATGATGATTTACCTAGGCAACACAGAAGGGAAAAAATTATCCTTCCTGCTATCTTGCAAACCAGCAGCTATTCATCTTTTATCACCCGAATGTTTCCTAAAAAAAACAGACAACCCATGTATGCAAAGTAGAAGCAGAAATCTGCCCTAATCATAAGAAATGATAATACAGTCTTGACAGAGTGAAAGTAGTTAGAAGCAAACACTGTATATGCATGTATGTGTGTTACAGTAATCCTATGTTTATGCATGAGGTAACAAACACACTTAGGTAACAGCTTTTTCCTCTTGGGCAATGCCTTATAGTCCTTCTCCATCAGTGAAAGCCAAGAAACCAACTCTAAGCTCATTTAAGTGGATTTTGTTCTTGGTGATCCATGAAATGCTCTGTCTTTTTATCTGCTCTTTATACTTTTAATGTATTCCCCATAGAACGGAAGTGTACTTTTCCTGCAGTTTAAGACTAAGGTTATAAATAACATCAGTATGGGGTAGTGAGCTTGCAGCTCACATTTTGCTCAATGATTTTCCATAAAACCCATTGATTGTTGTTAAATACAAAAAGCTCCATAGGATCCTCTCACTTCTATGGTCTCCCCTACTGTTTTTTCTTATAAGATACCTCCCTGTAGAAAATAACCTTTATTCAGTCTATACAAGGATACTACTGCTGGGAAATTTGTTTCAAGACTTGTATATCGTTATACCAAACAACATGTACTGCAGTATCAACACTAACAAGCAATGCCAATGCTATGAATACTATTGCTCCCTGTTGCTAAGGATTAATTTTATTATTTTTTTTCTTCCCTGGTCAATTGGTAAAGAATGCCTAAAACAGGTGGAGTTTTTAGCAATTGCCAATTTGTTGTAGTCTTAAGTTGCTGTTTAACATACTATACTTTAAAGTGATAAATTGCAGTTTCCTTTGCTTTTGTCTAGTTTGCTGTCTTCTTTCCTCCATCTACCTCACACCTGAGAAAACCACTGGGGATGGTTGAATTTTACTGAGAAAGGGTTCCCCACTAGCCAATTATCATGAAAACCCCAATAAAGATGAGTTGGAGCACAGGCGTGGCTAACAAAAGCCCAGAATGTGGACACTTCTTACAGAGGGCTCCTTAGAGGGGCAAATTGCTCAGAACATGAAAACTGGGTGCAGAAGCTGGTCCCAAATACTTGCAAGGTTATAGGGGTTTTTATTTCCTTTGACCTCCCTGGAGGGATATAACTTTGGGGTGTAGTAACCTGCTATGACTGTGCATTTCTTGTTAAGCACCAAGACAAGCTGCTTCAGTGGCAGTATGCTGTTCCTCAGAAATAGTTTTTCTTTTAATGGTAACAAAGGAGTTTCAGCACAAACTCCAGGGTAATGGAAGGGACAGTAAGTTAAGCAAGTTGAACGACCAACTCGGAGACAGAAGCAGAGTCTTCTGGTGGCTTGTGCAGGTCATGTCAGCAATATACCACCTTGCTGATATGTTCTGTGTGCAAATAACAGCATTTTCTTACCCTGAGACAAAGCATTCTAAAACATACACTTCAGCCTGAAATATCACTGGACACCAAGGAAGGACACCTTGCAGTCAATACCACACTAGGATCCCAGGCACCAGTTACAAATTCTTTGGAGCGTTATTATCTGAAATTATTTCTTGTCTTATTCTTTGTTTGTGATAAATGCTTTGTTTCTTGCTGGAATATTTTCTGCAGCTGCCACGTGCTAAATAAAGACACTAAAAATTGCCAACTCCAGTCACCGAGTTGCTTCGCACAAAAGCGTTGATTCGGTCAGTCTCATCTCCAGAGCACATCGTGATTAGCGGCGGCGGCGGTGCTTCAGCACCGGGTGGGCTGGGGAGTGCAGCAGCGCTGTGCACTTAATTGTTGCCTTTCCACAACGTTAAATACTGCAATATGCGGGGTGGACATAGGCGAAGTGGGGAAAAATGAATGGGTGGCATCAGAGGACCTGGGTTAAGACTTTTTTAATATGTAGCAAGAGAGGATGAACTCGGTAAATGAAAGAAACAAGTACTTATAAGACTTGAAATGTGAATGCAGCTCTTCTGCTTGTTTTTGAAGGGATTAAAGCTTTGTGTGGCTGCTTTTCCAGATGTTTTATAATACTTGTAAAATCTGGTTTGGCAAAAGAATTTTGATGGCAAAATGATATATAGAAGACCTCATTTACAGGAAATGATATCATTCTGGTACAGTTTGCAGAAATCCCACAATAAACCCAGCTTGGTGCCACAGCATATTAGTAGACTATTATGCTGGGTTTCATCTGGAAAACATGAGTCTTTCTTTGCACATTGTGGGGGCAGTCAAGATAATTGCAAAGTGTCCAGCTGTTTCAGCTGAACACCACCGTAGCTATGGGAATCTTTTTCCGACCCAGAAAAGGGATATAGCGTTAACTTGCAAACAGTGAAAATTGCTGAAAAATGAAAGGAAAGGAAACCTGATATTCAGAGGCTAGTAACTGCCATTGGCTTGTATTATTAAAGCTGTGGTGTTTGGACAACATGGGATGGGAGGGGAAACAAAAGGATTAATCACAAAGACGAGATGATAAAGAGCAATTGCCTTTGATGTCATTTCCTGTAATTAGACTTAGCCTTAAGGGTTTTGAAGATTGTCAGAAATACGAAAATGTGACTCATAACCTGTATTATTTAGTGTACTTAGAATTTTGTTGTAGTGCTCGTTTTGTGTTAGCTTAAATATCTAGCTATATATATATTTATAGATATACCTCTCTGATAGTTTTCATAATCCATTGTAAATTATCTCTGCCAGTCAATTAGTCAGGCAGGCAGGAAGTCCCACCCTGGCAGAGCATCAGTGTAAGACTCTTCTTTCTCAATTTTCCCTCAGACACACCATCCTGAGAAGCCACTTTTTCCTACCACAGGAAGCCCAAGAGAACACTATAGCTAGCAGTCTGACAGCCAAACTGAACCCTGGCCTTTTGTATCCTGCCAGGTTTGAAAAGCTGGACATCACCCCTAAAAGTGCCCAGAAGATAAAGCCGGTGCTTGAGCGGTGGATGGCTGAGGCTGAGGCCCGCCATCGAGCAGGTATGCAGAACCTTACCGAATTTATTGGAAGCGAACCATCTAAAAAGCGCAAGAGGCGTACCTCATTCACGCCACAAGCCCTTGAAATCTTGAATGCCCACTTTGAGAAGAACACGCACCCCTCTGGGCAAGAAATGACAGAGATTGCAGAGAAACTGAACTATGACCGGGAAGTAGTTAGAGTTTGGTTCTGCAATAAGAGGCAAGCACTGAAGAACACAATTAAACGTTTGAAACAACACGAGCCTGCGACGGCAGTTCCTATGGAGCCTTTAACAGACTCTCTGGAAGAAAACTCCTAAAAACAAAACAAAACAAAACCACACACAAAAAAACCTGCACCAACAGAAACGTAACCATTTGAACTCTGTGAAAATACCTGTTCATCACCCTTGTAAGTAAAAGACTGAGAAAATTACAAGAAGGACAGAACAGTTTATAAATGTTCATGGGTTTTCCTATTTAAAAAACAAAACAAAAAAATACACAACACTTAGTGTGTGTGTGTGTCGTAGAATTAGTTCCCCAAAAAAAAGAAAAAGCCAGTTTTTTAAAATGGACTTGAACTAAACCAAATAACTGCTTAATTTTTTTCTGTATATTATGAAAATGTGAACACATTTTAAGGAAAACAAAACAAAACAAAACACAAAAAAAAAACAGAAAAAAAAGAAAAAAAAAAACTTTTATCTGTTTAAAAGAGAATACAAGCCTGCCACCTGGAGGAGTGATTGTAGCCTTTCAGGTATCAAGTGCTGATTCACTATGAAAACTATTAACCAAAGTCAGAAACATGGCATTGCAAACTAGATTGTTAGTCTACTCTTTTATGAGTGTAAAATTGTGTTACAAATTTTTACATTTGTATTTTGCAAAGAGGAAAACAACAGGATTAATTTATCTCATCCTTGTTCCCACCCCCTGCAGGTGTGTACAAACAGGTGTTTAAGCCATTCCATAGTGATCACCTCCTTTTCTTTTCTTTTAGTCTACAGCTTTGCAATCTCCAAGTGTTTGGGTGCCAAAAATAATTTATTTTTATTGTGATTTGCAGGGTTTGGTATTTCTCTTCTAAGGGTATATGTCTTGGTTTGCCTTTTTTTTTTTTTTTTTTCCCCCTGGTTCTTTTTGCTGCCTCCCCACTTCCAGCTCATTCTCCGCCCCTTCCCCAAACCCACATAACCCAGTACTGTTTGCGTATTTTTAAAAAGAAAAGTGAAATCTGAACACTTTTATATTGATATGCTGAAATGCAATAGAGGACAAAGAAGGATTAGGATTATGTCTGATGAACTGTCAGCCCACGCTGAACATTGTGCTTGTTGTCGAATGTGTAGCTTGGGATTTCTCTGTCCTTTGGCCATGAACCTGGAGACATTACCAAAACTCATTTTGTAGTATAAATATAAACTGCACACTTGGTTTAGTACTGCATCTATATTATCATTCTGTTTGAAGCAATTTCTCTCCAAAGCCTGCTAGCCAAAGAAATTTCTTGAGATTCTGATGAAAACAAACGGACAGGCCAAGAAGTGATGAGGATATTTTGATCGTTACGTCACTGTGGACTGCTTCAATGGTAGTGCTTTGTTCCTTCTGCTTTTTTTTTATGTCGTCCTGATACTGATGCTTGCCCTTTTGACCTCTTCAGCAGGAGGATGTGTTTCTGCAGGTGTTTGCTGTGACTGCTGGCTAGACTAAGCAATCAGGATTTAGGGAAACCCTTTGGGAATAGTAAGGTGGGTCACCTGCAATATATTTCAAGTGAATTGATTTCCCTTTAAAGACAACTTAGCTCTGTGGCTTCCCTTTTGATTGGACAAGCATCTTCTAAAATACTCCAGTCATTGGACCTATGAGTATACCAAGGCTCAGAGGGAGAGAAGGGTGTTGCAGGTTCTCAGTGCGGCCTGGGCTGACCCATGAAGGTCATCTGTGATTTTCATCTTCTGCTGAGTTCTGCTCCAGCCTTTGGGGTTCAGCCCACTATTAGGGTAGAAGCTGCATCTTGATCAGGACTTTCCAAAAGATAACATTGGGGATTTTGTTCAGCTCACTGTAGAAGTGGTAGAGTAAAATGCTGCTGGTATAACTCCTGATTGCATTCACTCACCTCAGGATGGTTGCACTGGATTTTTGCTGGTCTACCCAGGACGTTGAAGGAGGTTCCCAAAGTGCTGGAGTCTTCAAATAACACCTCTCTTACAGAGTTTTCAAGAACTCCAGGCTATAGCCAAAATTTAGGGAAAGAAAGGGACTTCCGTTAATTTCACTGTGCTTTGAATCTGGCCCTTGCTGTTTTATTAATGGGATTTGCCTTGTAGAATGGGGTATTTGCTGCATGGTTGGTGGAGTTTTAAGGCTTCAGAGACCATCATCTGTGCCAGAAACTGCCTCTAAATGTGAGCACTCTCAAAGGTCAGGGTTGGAGAGCACTGACGATCCAGTACTCCGAGCTGGGCTTATGTCCAGCAAATGCATTTTAGGCTTTAAGCTTCAGCAGGGTATGTTTAGGGATATTTTCAGTATTGCTTTTATGAGGAGGAGAGTGAGAATTGTTATTGACTCTTTTCCGACTGTTTCTATATAAATATCTGCCGGGGGAAAAAACACCTCAGTAACCACAGACAAATTGTGAGGGACAAAAAAGATGGTTTACCCAAGCTGAGCATGTGAAGTAAAGAGAGTCTCACAGCAACATCTGCCGCTCTGGGTTTTCTTTTTCCCTCTCCATCCATAGATACCTATATCCACATATATCTGTGTTATCTATACCAAACAGCCCTCAACTTGTGGCCACAATTCAATTTGTGTAACGATCAGGAGACCACCCAGAAGCCAAGAGGGAAGCAGGAAAGATCATATTTGGAAGTGGACACTCCTGAAGTCCTACCCATGTCTCCACTATGCTGCTAATTGTCCAGTCATTAAGGCCACGTACATGATTACCTGTTCAGCCACCCTTGAGACCATACGCACACACACAAACACATACACTCCACCCCCATCATCAACAGCCTGGGAACAAAACCATCAATGATTCTTTGCCTAAAAACTAAATTACCAATTCTCCCAGGGACTGCTCTAAATTTTGTGAAGAAAAATCCCCCAAGAAGAAAAGTTAACTAAACAGTGTATGAAAGATACTAAATGTTTAAAAATATGCTGGCACCAGTTATATAAGCTCTTTCTGTTCCAAAGTACATATCGGAAGGATATAACTAGGACAGTGAAAATGTAAAATAAATATAAATTGCCAGCTTGGAAGAAAAAATGATGTTCATCCCACAGTCCTAAAACCATTCATGTGCAGTGATTTTTTTTTTACAGTTTTCTAATTTTGTATTATGTTTTGTAAATTATTTATAAAGTGTTGTAATGCTTCTTATATTAATTTTTTTATAAACAAATTTTTGCTATGAGGCATAAATGGTGCCTGAACAGATTCTTAGGAAGATAAATTATGTTTGAGTCATGCATCTTTAGGGGGCCATAAATATTTTGTTTTATTTTGTTACTGGCAACATTTCTGGTTTCCATTTGTAAACAATTTTCATGTATTGATTACATTTGAATACCTTTTAATTTTGCATGTGACTAAAAGATAGATTGCTACCAGCAAATGAAACAAAAGTCTCTTCAGTCATATGTGAAGGTTTAATAGTTTTCCAATTTATTGATCATTGAATTTTTTTAAATATATATATATATATTAAAAAAAGTATTATTTGAATAACGAACCAAGGGTTCACTTGCTGTTCTGATTTTGTCTTTTTATGTTTTTCACTAAAAAGCTATTTTGGACAGTTGAAGAAATCAAATGCATTCAAATGGTTCCACTTTCTTTACGTTATTACCACAAAAAAAAAAAAAAAAAAAAAAAAAAAAGTAAAGAAAATAAAAAAGAGAGAACAAGAAAGCAAAAAGGAGCTAGGAAGGAACAAGTAGAGGCGTATCAAAGAACTCAAGCTATAACCAAAAAGAAATATGTAAAATGCCTTTGCTCGTCTTCTCAATGCTGGACCAAAGCTCAATGTATGTAGGTATATGCACATTGTATAGATATGGCTAAATGTTGCTGACAATCTCGCAATACTAAACTGTTACTATTAAAAAAAAATAAATAAATACAAAAATAAAACTGTTCATCAGTGTTTTACCTCAGCACTCTACTTGTACCCAGTTATTGACCAACATTCAAATAAGAAGATAAGAGAGGAAATTGATTTCCATGTCAATGTTTGACTGTAAAATCTGTTTGGAAAACATTTTGTAATGAGCTTTTTGTCATGTGGTTTGCTTGTTTCCAACTTGAGATTATGTGGGGCACATTTGTTTATTTATTGTTAAAAAGTGATATTATTATTATTAATTATTATTATTATTACTATTATTATTATTATTATTTTTGTCCTATGTGCTATAATCTACAGAATGGTCACCAGGGTCACTTATGAAGCACTGCAAAGAGATCTGTTTTTCCATGCATGGAGCATGCAGCGGGAAAGATGGCAGTACAAAATGGACTGTATTGTGTTGTTAAAAAATAAGAATAATTACAAAAGGAGTTGATGTGGTGGACTTGTGACCAAGAAACCAAACTGGATATTTAAAAGCTCCTTACTACTCTGACTTTGAAACCAAAGCTGATTTATCTGCACAGGTTGCTTAACATGAAAAAAATAAAAAAAAACAAAAAAAAACTGACAAAAACTGTAATTAATCTAGAGCAATATCTGTATGGTCAGTAAAGCTGCACTTTGTGTATTTCTTAACAGCTTCAGATCTGTCACTTTTAATTTGTACCATAAAAAATAAAGAATTGTTTGACATGAAAAATAAGCTCCTTTCATGTGTTTGTCTTAAATCTCATGCATTATTCACATGATCAGAGCTCTTGTAATTTCACATCAGTTCAATACAAAAATAGTTAAATGCTCAAAAGAAAGGAAGAAAGAAAATCCTTTTGCACTGTGGAGCATCACTTTATCTGCAAAACTAAATGCTGTTTCTGTATCCAGAGTGGGCATGTACACTGGTGATGTCTTATTTTCTCTACAGATATGCAGAGCAGAGGATCTGCCTCAGGAATATCGTGGAATCACTCAGGTGAGTGTGTATTATCCCCCCAGGCCAAGCAGAGCAAAGCACAGATGGACATGAAGGACAGAAACAGCGAATCTCCCGGTGCTTCCACAGCTCCCGTAACAAAGCCCTGGTAAGTGATGGAGGGGGAGTATGGTAGCGAGATTGGGTCAGCCTTTCAAATGTTTTCTCGCATTTTTGCAGAGCTCACGAGGTTCATTCCTCATTTCTTTCTGTGATTATGATATTAGGTAGCAGAAATACCTCGGTTTTGGGCAACTTGCACTGAGTCATATTGTGTTCAGTCTAAATACATGATTCTGAAAAATCAACAGGTTTTGAGAAATTAATTAGTTGTATTATAAAGTTGTTTTGGAAAAAACAGCCTAGAAAAAAAGCTCTGACAATATTAGAACATCGTGTTTGAGACTTGGGAACAAAACTTTTGCAAAGCCTGTTTCCTTTGATTTTGTAAAATATTGTTTTACATTTCCAATACCATGTGTTAAATAATCAAAAACAAAACCAAAATATTTA